AGCACGAGAGCAAGAGAGAAATTGGAGATCACTCTTGTCTCCTCGCTCCTCCTCGACCGCTGCCTTGAGTTCCGCCTGACCACCACTTGAGGCTCTGAGCTCCCCCGGACCACCACTTGAGGCCCTAAGCTCCACCAGACCACCACCTAACACCCAGAGTTCTACCAGACTACCACCTGATGTATAGAATTCTGCTGCATCACCACCTAACACCTCGAGTTCAGTCAGACCACTATCTGATACCTGGACTTATGCATGACTGCCACCTGAGGCCTGGACTTCTGTCGGACCACCACCTAAAGCCTGAACTTCTATCAGACCACCACCTGAGGCCCGAACTTCTGCTAGACCACCACTAGAGGTACGAACTTCTGTTGGACCACCACCTGAGCCCTAAACTTCTACCGGACCACCAGCTAAGAGGCCCGTACTTCCACCAGACCACAGTATGACGCCTAGACGTCTGTTAGACCACCACCTGAGGCCCAGACTTCTGTCGGACCACCACTTGATACCCAGACTTCTGCCAAACCACCACCTGAGGCTGAGGCACAAACTTCTGCTTGACCACCACCTGTGGCCCAAACTTCTATCGAACAACCACATAAGGCTCAGACTTCTACCGGACCACCATTTGAGAGCCAGACATCTGTCGGACCATCTCATAAGGCCCAGACTTCTATCAACCACACTTGAGGCCCGAACTTCTATCGGACCACAACCTGAGGCCCGGACTTCTGCCATACCACGACCTGAGGCCTGGATTTCTGTCGGACCACCACATGAGGTCTGAATTTTTTTCTAGACCACCACTTGAGACCCGAACTTCTGCTAGACCACCACTTATGGCCCGGACTTCTACTAGACCACCACATGAGGCCTGGACTTTTGCCGGATCACCACCTCAAGCACAAACTTTTGCCATACCACCATTTGAGGCTTGGACTTCTACTGGACCACCACCTGAGGCTCAAACTTCTACCGAACCACCTAAGGCTCAGACTTCTGCCAGACCACCACCTGAGGTTTGGACATCAGCCAGACCACCACCTAAGGCCCGAACTTCTGTCAGACCACCACCTGATGCCTAGACTTCTACCGGACCACCACCTAAGGCGCAAACTTCTGCTGGACCACCTGAGGCTTGGACTTCTATCAGACCACCACCTGAGACCCTGACTTTTGTCGGACCACAACCTCAGGCTCAGACTTCTGTCGGACCACCACCTGAGACCCAGACTTATGTCGGGCCACCACTTGAGGCACGAACTTCTGCCAGACCACCACCTGAGGCCTTAACTTTTATCGGACCACCACCTCAGGCCCGGACTTCTATCGGATCACCACCTGAGGCTCGGACTTATGCCAGACCACCACATGAGGCCTAGACTTCTATCGGGCCACCACTTGATGCCTAGAATTCTACCGGAGTAACACCCTACTACTATTGTCTTTCATGCCCTTATCTCCTACCAACTACGGTCCTTCCAAACTTTATCGCTTACTACAGTCCTTTCGACCTCCATCACTAGACAACGGTCTTTCTGATCCTTATCTCCTGTCGACTACGGTCCTCCTGACCTCTATCGCCTACTACAGTCCTGCCGACCTCCATAACCATATAATGATCTTTCTGACCCCAGTCTTCTGCCAACTATGGTCTTTCAGACCCCTCTCTCTTACCGACTATGGTCCTTCCGATCTCTGTTACCTACTACAGTCCTTCCGACCTCCATTGCTAGACAATGATCTTTCTGACCTCAGTCTCCTACCTATTACGATCTTTTCGACCTCTATCCTATCGACTATGATCCTGCCAACCAAACAAACATGTCTATGTTGATTATTGTAACTCCCACCATGTAATGCGCTCTATTGAATGTACATTTGTGATATCAAGCCAAGGCCCTCTCCCAATGAAGGGCCTCATTTGAAATCGACTGCAAATACTAGTGGATTCATTCAAACTAGGACAGGCCTCATGGTTTTTCCCTCTTTTCAGGGGTTTCCACATAAAAACTTTGGTGTCTCTTATTTAATGCCGCACTCTCTATTATCTGATTGCGTGCTGAATCTTCGAAAAAAAACTAAGACGTTAAACTTTATACTTCTCTACCGTCGTAAATACTCCAGGACGCAATAATATATATTATGAAATATATTTCTAATAAACACGAATTATATAAAAACTCTTAAATGCAGCTCATCTTGGCATATTGGTTAAGAGCTTTGATTATCAACTAATAAGTTTGAGTTCTGAGTCTTTTATATATGATGTAGATTAATTTATCTTAATTCGTCTAAATATTTCAAATAAAAAATAAAAATTCGAGCGATATTCAAAGCCCAGCAGAATTCATACTCTGTAAAGACCAAACCCTTCTTTACGACAACCCTGTAAGCAATGCGCTCAATCGTCAGAAAGCTCTCACCTTTAACTCCACCGCATCGTCGCTTCCCTCTCTCCTTCTCTCTCTCAGCCCCAAATTCCTGCTCCATTCTCTCTTCTCTGCTGCCCTGTCCTCTGCCTCCTCCGGCAGTGTCGTCGGCAGCAAACCACATTCTCTCGCTGCTCCGCCACTTCGCATCTCAACCGTCTCCGTCCTCTACTCTCTCTCTCGCCTTCATCCGTGGCGGATGCTATGATGCCGAAGTCGCCCATCGCCCTCCTTTCTCCTTTCCCTTCTGCCCCGGCTGCGGCGTCCACATGCAGGACTCCGACCCCTCACTTCCCGGCTTCTTCTCAACCCCTTCAACCAAATCCCCCGACTACCATGCCCCCATCTACCCTCTCCCACTCTCCTCCACCTCCGATCCCGAAACATCCATCTTCATAAAGTCTGGCCACCTCCAAGAACTGTCAGAAGCCACTGGCGGCCCTCTTCCTGGCGATTCCAGCGCCGAAGACAGCAAGCCTTTGGTCTGTGCCCGCTGCCACTCTCTCCGCCACTACGGCCGCGTCAAGGACTCCTCCGCCGAGAATCTCCTCCCGGACTTCGACTTCGATTGCATGATCGCCCCCAAGATTGCTTCCCCATCCGGCCCGCGCTCCGTTGTCCTCTTCGTTGTAGACGCAACCGACTTCGACGGTTCCTTTCCTCGCAAGGTCTCCCGACTCCTTTCAACCTCCATTGATCACAACGCCCTCGCCTGGAAGGAGAGTAAGTCTGCCAACATCCCCAGGATCATCCTCGTCGTTACGAAACTTGACCTTTTGCCTTCTTCCGTCTCCCAGGAGATGCTCAACGAGTGGACGCGGAGGCGGGCAAATATCTTGGGGGCGGTGAAGTTGGCCGGATTGCATCTCGTCAGCGCGGTAAGGGATTGGGGAGTAAGAAATTTGGTCGAGCAGGTGGCAGAGTTTGCTGGTCCAAGGGGAAATGTGTGGGCTGTAGGAGCTCAGAATGCTGGCAAATCGACTCTGATCAATGCCATGGGGAGGTGTGTTGGGAGGAAGATGACCCAATTGACCGAGGCTCCTGTGCCAGGAACAACTCTGGGGATTGTGAGGGTGGAGGGGGTGCTTTGCGGGCATGCGAAGCTGTTTGATACTCCTGGGATACTTCATCCCTACCAGATTACAACAAGATTAACTAGAGAGGAACAAAAGTTGATTCATATAAGCAAGGAGCTTAAACCAAGAACCTACAGAATCAAGGTTAGTTTCACATATTTATTTATTTTCTTCAGTGGAACTTTTATTTGGCCAAGAGAGGAACTTTCCAAACGTGTTTGCATCGGGCTTGTTGTGTGATAGAAAAGTACCCCTCAAACTTAAGGGAAAATTCTATAAGATGGTAGTGAGGCCTGAAATGCTGTATGGTGTTGAATTTAAAAAAATGTTACTATTTGAGCACCTCAATGTTGGGTGTCTGAGCGCCTTGCAACAATATAGTGACATTACAATGCTCTAAGTTCTGGAATTTGAATTTTGAATTGGCTTGTGTAGTATTAGGGGGTAGCACCACAATGCTAGGCCAATAACATCACTTTAAAATAATTTAAATCCATTGTCCCATTTATTTGATATAGTGCAATTTTTAATCATAAGAGAGAAAGGGTGAGATTTTGAGAGATAAAAAAGGGGTTTTGAGCGGCAGTGGACCTTTCTTAATAATTGGCCCAGTTGGTAAAGTTGACCATATCGAGGTAGATCACATTATGTCTATCATAGTTTAAAAAATATGAAGTTTTTCCATATGTTTTGATTAAATTTCTATTTCTATTACCAAAAAATCTGGATAACTTTGTGTTGATAAAACTATCTCCGCATAAATATTTATATATTATAGAGATTGATATTTGAAGTTTTGAGTATTTTCTTAAAATTTTCTATCGATTATTTTGAAATTTATCCAATTTTAATTGAATAGAAAATAATTTAGACACTAAAAAATAATATCGTTGCACAATTAAAGTCTTGAAATAATATTTTACACAATCTTAAGTAAACTGGTTATGTTTTGGAACTATAAAATTTTGCTCAGCGGGAAATTATGTTGCCTATCATTATAGAAAATTTTCTCATTATAATATGAGCACAATTATGCTTTAATTACTGTCATAGCTCAACATGATAGGATTTGTCCTAGTCTAGTTGGGTTGTTACACTTGGGTGTAAATGAATATAGCCGAGTTTTAGTCAGCCATAATTTGAGCGTGAGTTTGATTAATTAATCGATTTCATGCTCAAACTCGAGCTTTATTCTATGAATTCCAACAAAGGCAGGTCATTTATTATAAATGAAAGTAAGGGATAATAGTTCAAGTAATTATTATAATGAAATGACAGAAAATAAAAAGTTAAGAAAAAATAATAATTAATCACTTAGTATAAAAAATGTGAGATAAATTTTTTAAACATTTTAACAACATCCTACTTCAAATCCGAAACACTAATATATTTTAAGTCCATTTACTTTAATATTTTTTTAAACATGGCAACTTAAGAGCTAATGAGGTGAGTTGGTGCTATCTCAGGCTTCATTTTTTTAGCTCATCAAATTAGGCTCATGAGCCATTTTTCAAACATAGCCTAAGGCTGTCTGACACACCTTGCACCTTTTGCCAACTCCTTTTGAAATGATCTGATTTCTAATAGTTCCAAAATTAATATATATGATAAATCATTAAAAATTTATCTTTATGGGGCACGAATTTCAAGGTAAAATCAAGTTAGAAAATTTCGAAATTAAATTTGGGACCATCCAAACACTGATTTTAGCAAACTTATGGTCGAACTGAACGTCTCGAAAATATAAACCCAACGACATAAAAGTCGACTCAATCTAAGCCCAAATGGGACCAAAGCAATGTTGGAGGGTTCAAACCACAATTTAGATTATCAAACAGTTTTTTAACATGACTTGCTTATAGTCGAATCGATCTGCTTGACGATACAAATCCAACGAGCCCAAGATCACAGAATTCCAACATCATTAAGACCTTCAAACATTTGACGAATGGTCAGCAATCAAGGGATTCAACATCGGCCGTTCATCCAAAACACTCCCCATTTACCCTTGATCTTCTTCCTACTTACGGGTCATGCCACTTTAAGAAATATATAAATAGACCCCTCCTCCCTCTTGAAAGGGGGCTCCAAGCACGAGAGCAAGAGAGAAATTGGAGATCACTCTTGCCTCCTCGCTCCTCCTCGACCGCTGCCATGAGTTTCGCCTGACCACCACTTGAGGCTCTGAGCTCCCCTGGACCACCACTTGAGGCCCTAAGCTCCACCAGACCACCACCTGACACCCAGAGTTCTACCAGACTACCACCTGATGTCTAGAATTCTGCTGCATCACCACCTGACACCTGGAGTTCAGTCAGACCACTATCTGATACCCGGACTTATGCATGACTGCCACCTGAGGCCTGGACTTCTGTTGGACCAGCACCTAAGGCCTGAACTTCTGTCAGACCACCACCTGAGGCCCGAACTTCTGCTAGACTACCACTAGAGGCACGAACTTCTGTTGGACCACCACATGAGCCCTAAACTTCTACCGGACCACCAGCTAAGGCCCGGACTTCCACTAGACCACAATATGATGCCTAAACGTCTGTCAGACCACCACATGAGGCCCAGACTTCTGTCGGACCACCACTTGATACCCAGACTTCTGCCAAACCACCACCTAAGGTTGAGGCACAAACTTCTGCTTGACCACCACCTGTGGCCCAGACTTCTATCGGACCACCACATTAGACTCAGACTTCTACCGGACCACCACTTGAGGGCCAGACATCTGTCAGACCATCACATAAGGCCCAGACTTCTATCAACCACACTTGAGGCCCGAACTTCTATCGGACCACAACCTGAGGCCCAGACTTCTGCCATACCACCACCTGAGGCCTGGATTTCTGTCGGATCACCACATGAGGTCTGAATTTTTTTCTAGACCACCACTTGAGACCCGAACTTCTGCTAGACCACCACTTATGGTCCGGACTTCTACTAGACCACCACATGAGGCCTGGACTTTTGTCGGACAACCACCTCAAGCACGAACTTTTTTCGTACCACCATTTGAGGCTTGGACTTCTACTGGACCACCACCTGAGGCTCAAACTTCTACTGGACTACGTAAGGCTCGGACTTCTGCCGGACCACCACCTGAGGTCTGGACATCAGCCAGACCACCACCTAAGGCCCGAACTTCTATCGGACCACCACCTGATGCCTAGACTTATGCCGGACCACCACTTAAGGCGCAAACTTCTGCTGGACCACCTAAGGCTCGGACTTCTATCGGACCACCACCTGAGACCCTGACTTTTGTCGGACCACAACCTCAGGCTCAGACTTCTGTTGGACCACCACCTGAGACCCAGACTTCTGCCGGACCATCACTTGAGGCACGGACTTCTGCCAGACCACCACCTGAGGCCTTAACTTTTGTCGGACCACCACCTCAGGCCCGGACTTCTATCGGATCACCACCTGAGGCTTGGACTTATGCCAGACCACCACCTGAGGCCCAGACTTCTACCGGGCCACCACTTGATGCCTAGAATTCTACCGGAGTAACACACTACTACTATTATCTTTTAGACCCTTATCTCCTACCAACTACGGTCCTTCCAAACTTTATCTCTTACTACAGTCCTTTCGACCTCCATTACTAGACAAAGGTCTTTCTGATCCTTATCTCCTGTCGACTACGGTCCTCCCGACCTCTGTCGCCTATTACAGTCCTTCCGACCTCCATAACCAGATAACGATCTTTCTGACCCCAGTATTCTGCCAACTACGGTCTTTTAGACCCCTCTCTCTTACCGACTATGGTCCTTCCGATCTCTGTTACCTACTACAGTCCTTCCGACCTCCATTGCCAGACAATGATCTTTCTGACCCCAGTCTCCTACCTATTACGATCTTTTCGACCTCTATCCTATCAACTATGATCCTGCCAACCAAACAAACATGTCTATGTTGATTATTATAACTCCCACCATGTAATGCGCTCTATTGAATGTACATTTGTGATATCAAGCCAAGGCCCTCTCCCAATGAAGGGCCTCATTTGTAATCGACTGCAAATACTAGTGGATTCATTCAAACTAGGACAGGCCTCATGGTTTTTCCCTCTTTTCAGGTGTTTCCACATAAAAACTTTGGTGTCTCTTATTTAATGCCGCACTCTCTATTATCTGATTGCGTGCTGAATCTTCGAACAAAACTAAGACGTTAAACTTTATACTTCTCTACCGTCGTAAATACTCTGGGACGCAATAATATATATTATGAAATATATTTCTAATAAACATGAATTATATAAAAACTCTTAAATGCAGCTTGATACATCATCAAAAAATTAGTTTGATCGGGCACGAATATCGAGGCAAAAGCTAGTTGAAAACTTCAAATTTTAATTTTGGGAGCACCCGAACTCCGATTTCAGCGAGCTTACAGTCAAACTGAGCGTCTCGGAAATACGAACCCGACAAAACCAAGATCAACCCAATTCAAGCCCAAATGAGTCCAAATCAATGGCTCAAAGTGCTGTCAGAAGGTTCAAACCTCAATTTGAGTTACCAAACGGTCTCCAATTTGTACAAGCTTATACTCGAATCGAACGGCTCGACGAGACAAATCCAACGAGCCCAAGATCGCCGAATTCCGACATCTCTAAGACCTTCAAATGTCCAACGAACGGTGCACGATCGTAGGATTCAAAATCAATCATCCATTCAACCACTCCCAACTAACCCTTGATCCTCCACCTATTTACTGGCTATGCCATTCCCAAAATCTATAAATAGAGCCCCCTCTTCTCTTGAAAGAGGACCCCCCGGGAGCTTAAGGAAAAAAGAGAGAGATCGGAGATCGCTCTTACTTCTTAGCCTCCTCGACCACCGTCGGAGTTTCGCCGGACCACCGCCTAACGCCGTCACTCCGCCGGACCACCACCTGACGCCCTGTGCTCCACCGGACCACCACCTGACGCCCTGTGCTCCACCGGACCACCGCCTAACGCCGTCACTTCGCCGGACCACCACCTGATGCCCTGTGCTCCACCGGATCATCACCTAACGCCGTCACTCCGCCGGATCATCACCTGACGCTCTACGCTCTGCCAGTCTTTCACTTGAAGCTCTCATCTTTGCCAGGCCATCATTGAAGATTCTCACATTTGCCAGACCTTCATCTAAGGCCCGAAGTTTCTGCCTTATCATCATCTAAGGCCTGAAGTCGTACCAGACCATTACTCGACACTCGGACTTCAATTGTACAATTGTTACTTGTAATCTGATCGTCCTTAGAGACGAATCAGCCCATTGTAACCAACTCAAGTTTTAGTGAAATCTTTTCAACTGGGCTAGGCCCCGTGGTTTTTCCCCTTTCAAGGGTTTTTCACGTAAAAAATCTTGTGTTCTCTGTGTGTAAACTGGATATCCGTATAACGGTTAGACAAACAATTAAAACTCTATCGCCGCGTATATTCTAGTCCGCAACACAGCTCATCTTGACATATTGATTAAGAGCTTTGATTATCAACTAATAAGTTTGAGTTCTGAGTCTTTTATATATGATGTAGATTAATTTATCTTAATTCGTTTAAATATTTCAAATAAAAAATAAAAATTCGAGCGATATTCAAAGCCCAGCAGAATTCATACTCTGTAAAGACCAAACCCTTCTTTACGACAACCCTGTAAGCAATGCGCTCAATCGTCAGAAAGCTCTCACCTTTAACTCCACCGCATCGTCTCTTCCCTCTCTCCTTCTCTCTCTCAGCCCCAAATTCCTGCTCCATTCTCTCTTCTCTGCTGCCCTGTCCTCTGCCTTCTCCGGCAGTGTCGTCGGCAGCAAACCACATTCTCTCGCTGCTCCGCCACTTCGCATCCCAACCGTCTCCGTCCTCTACTCTCTCTCTCGCCTTCATCCGTGACGGATGCTATGATGCCGAAGTCGCCCATCGCCCTCCTTTCTCCCTTCTCTTCTGCCCCGGCTGCGGCGTCCACATGCAGAACTCCGACCCCTCACTTCCCGGCTTCTTCTCAACCCCTTCAACCAAATCCCCCGACTACCCTCTCCCACTCTCCTCCACCTCCGATCCCGAAACATCCATCTTCATCAAGTCTGGCCACCTCCAAGAACTGTCAGAAGCCACTGGCGGCCCTCTTCCTGGCGATTCCAGCGCCGAAGACAGCAAGCCTTTGGTCTGTGCCCGCTGCCACTCTCTCCGCCACTACGGCCGCGTCAAGGACTCCTCCGCCGAGAATCTCCTCCCGGACTTCGACTTCGATTGCATGATCGCCCCCAAGATTGCTTCCCCATCCGGCCCGCGCTCCGTTGTCCTCTTCGTTGTAGACTCAACCGACTTCGACGGTTCCTTTCCTCGCAAGGTCTCCCGACTCCTTTCAACCTCCATTGATCACAACGCCCTCGCCTGGAAGGAGAGTAAGTCTGCCAACATCCCCAGGATCATCCTCGTCGTTACGAAACTTGACCTTTTGCCTTCTTCCGTCTCCCAGGAGATGCTCAACGAGTGGACGCGGAGGCGGGCAAATATCTTGGGGGCGGTGAAGTTGGCCGGATTGCATCTCGTCAGCGCGGTAAGGGATTGGGGAGTAAGAAATTTGGTCGAGCAGGTGGCAGAGTTTGCTGGTCCAAGGGGAAATGTGTGGGCTGTAGGAGCTCAGAATGCTGGCAAATCGACTCTGATCAATGCCATGGGGAGGTGTGTTGGGAGGAAGATGACCCAATTGACCGAGGCTCCTGTGCCAGGAACAACTCTGGGGATTGTGAGGGTGGAGGGGGTGCTTTGCGGGCATGCGAAGCTGTTTGATACTCCTGGGATACTTCATCCCTACCAGATTACAACAAGATTAACTAGAGAGGAACAAAAGTTGATTCATATAAGCAAGGAGCTTAAACCAAGAACCTACAGAATCAAGGTTAGTTTCACATATTTATTTATTTTCTTCAGTGGAACTTTTATTTGGCCAAGAGAGGAACTTTCCAAACGTGTTTGCATCGGGCTTGTTGTGTGATAGAAAAGTACCCCTCAAACTTAAGGGAAAATTCTATAAGATGGTAGTGAGGCCTGAAATGCTGTATGGTGTTGAATGTTGGACATTAAAAGAGAAGCATAATACTAAGTTAAGCATGGAAGAGATGAGGATGCTCAGGTGGATGAGTGGCTTTACCCTTAGAGATAGGATACAAAATGAGCATATACGTGAAAAGGTTGGAGTAGCTCCAGTAGAAGAACTTGGTGAATTGGTGAGAACTGAATTCAGAGTGACCGGTGATAGTTGGGATGACAGTAGCACTGACATTGCAGCTGCTGGCCTTGGTTGGATTGCTGTCTGTCTCAAGGGGGAAACATTACTGGGTGTGTGGACATATGATGGAATCAATGTTGTTTCACGAAGTTCTTTGATTGCCAGAAAAGCAAAAATATTTGAAGAAGCCGGGTTCACTGTTTCAAATATTGTCTCTAAAGCTGACAGTATTTTCAGCAAGGAGAAGCAAAATAAATCTGGGAAGAAAAAGAGTGTGCTAAGATGAAACTGGGCAAGTATGCCTTTAGCTGATATCTGATAGAATTGAAAGCTTATTTGTTCTTCAGTTTAAAAGTCTGGGAAAGTGGCTCACGAATGGAGAACTGCAATTTTGTCGAACTTATCTGATATTTATGGTGTTGATTTTGGATGTCAGACTTTTAGTTGTAGTTGTAATTTTGGACATCGAACTTTTAGCCATAGCTTATTTATACTGGGAATTGCTATCCTGTGCTGGGGTGCAAATATTGATTACTTGTAATACATACGAATAATTCACCTTGGTTTGTGGGCATTATTAATTTTATTGTTAGTGGTATATTTCCTTATTATTTAAATCCTTGTCAAAAGAGAAAAAAATTATATGATATTGAATTTTATTTTTGGGATGAACCTTACAACGATCAAATTATGAGATGTGTTCCTGAAAAACAAATAGAATTAATCATTAAGGAGTATCATGATTCTCATTTTGGGGGACATTTTGGAGGATTTAGAATGGCTTCTCAAATCCTTCAAATTGTATTCATTTTGCCTACTTTACATAAAAGGATATAAATGAATATATTAAGAAATATTCAATGCTAAACAATAGGAAATGCTTCCAAAAGAAATAAAAAGCCTTTGAATTATGTTCTAGAAATAGAAATATTTGATGTTTGGGGATTAAATTTTATGGAACCTTTTTGTGTCATCCTATGAAAATCAATATAATTTTATTGTCGTGGACTATATTTAAAAGTGGATTAATGATGTGACAACTTCTAAAATTGATGAAGCTCAAATTATGATCAAGTTTTTTTTCTTAAAAAAAAACTTTCACTAGATTTGGAACGTTAAAAGTTTTAATTAGTAATGGAGGAAGTTGAAAGTTTGTGGGGGTTGTGAAACCTTAAAGAACTAGTCCGAGGCTAACCAAAAAGGGGGGAGGGGGTAAATTGATAGTTTTAAAAATTCTTAAATAAAAAAAAACATTTGATCATTTTAAATATTTTAAAACAAAATAATAACTCTTGATGCATAAGAAAATTAATTTTCACGATAACAATACAATCAAAATTTTCAATCACAAAAAATTGCAGAAATAAAATGCATAAAAAGTAATAAGAAAGAATACACTGAATTTTATAGTGGTTCGGTCAAATCTGACTTACGTCCACTCCTTGGAGATTACCTCTCCAAGTATTGCATTAAACTGAAGTGACTCTTCTTTTGCTCCCATAGCAAGGCAGAGAAGACCTTATAAAATCTTTCCACCGACACGGTGAGACAGAGAACCTTGAATCATTTTTCTCCCTCCTGGAGTAGGCAGAGAACCTAGAAATCCTTTTTCACCCACTTGATGAAGGGAGAGAACATGGGAATCCTTTTACTCCCTCCTAAAGTAAACAAAGAACTTGGATCTAATACTGAAGACGATATTCCCAGAGACACCAAGGAACTAGAGGAGCAACTTGAGGAATATGATGAACACCTTACTTAGAGCAACCTTTGTGATTCTCTCACAAGGATCTCTCTCTCTCTCTCTCTCTCTCAAGCTCTTCCTCTTTCTTCTCTAAGCTCTTTCCTGGATCAACTCCACAGCAAAAGATTGTCTCAAGAGATAATTAGAGAGCTTAAATAGAGAGCCTCCAAAAGAAGCCATAATTTTCAATTCTACACAATTGATCGTCCAGGACGATAGATAGATTATCATGTATAATTAACACACAATAGCCCTTTCAGTTAGGATGACTAGCATTGCATGTACTATTAGTTTAAGAGAAATATGCTGATCGCCCCGGATTATTTTAATATCATCTTGGATGATTAGTATAAAACTATTAAACTTTATCTTGTATGATGCCCGACGATTCCTTATCATCCCATGCATTTCTCTATCATCTAGTATGATAGGGGTATATCATCCTAGATGATTAGTTGAAACAATATTATATTCATCTGGTATGATATGTGGTAGTCCCTTCTCATACCAAGGATATTCTCTGTCATCCAAGATAATCGTCAACGATCATTCTGTATGATCATATCAAATTATGTTTTACTATAATTATTTTCCTAATCATGTGATTAATTTAGGAATAATTGTCCATAATCATCCAAGACGATCTACATCATCATGTACGATTAGCACAAAATTTGAAAATTAAATTATTTCTTAAATTATGATTGGCGATTATTTTCACGATCTGAACTGATAATCCTGGACAATAGGTATCGTTTAGTATGATTAGCTTAATCACTCTTAAAACAAGGATGTCCTAATTAAAGTTTTTATTTTTAACTGATCGTCCAGTATGATTTGAAATCATCTTGTATGATTAGATCAAAATTAAAGAATTCTCTAACTCACAAAATTTCTCCCCCTAAGTGTGTTTATGCAAGGTTACTTAGCTTGGGGCCCACCAGATACATGACTTGACTCAAGAAAAGTAAAAGGTACATTGAAATTGAAGTTACAGATAGATTCAACCCTAGTCTAACCGATCTTGAGTTGATTTGCATTGCAAGTGATCTTGTGGATCTAAAATGTTAGTAAGGAGGGCAAACAAAACATATATACAATAATAGTAGTCGTAAAGAAAATAATAATGTTTGTTATCATCAAAATCATGATACTTGGATCCAAATTTGTAACATAAGTCATTTCTATAATAAAAAATACAAATAGACTTAAGGAAATATAGAGTTTATCATAGTGTCGTAACAGTTTACCATCCTCAAACTAGTGGTTAGGGTGAGAAAAACAATATGGAGCTTAACAGAATCCTAAAAAAATGGTCAATTCAAATAGAAAAGATTAGGCGATTAAGTTAGACGATGTATTATGGCCCTATAAAACTACTTATAAAACTCTTATTGGTATGACTCCCTATAAATTAATTTATGTAAAGGCTTGCCACCTTTCTGTGGAATTGGAACACAACATTCTGGCCAGTTAAATAATTGAATTGTAATTTTGAAATGGAAAAAGAGAACAGATTGATGCAGTTGGGTGAATAGGAAAAATTAGAAATAAAGCTTATAAAAATGCAAGAATTTATAAATATATGGTTAAAAATGTCGGAAAGAATTCACTCATGAATAGGATGTTTTGCTATTTAATTCTAGACTTAATTTTTTTCCTATAAAATTGAAATTTAGATTGTCTGGCCACTCACTATGCTAAGAACATTTCCTTATGGAGCTATGGAAATTAATGATAAGAAATGTTTACATATTTTTAAAGTGAGTGACCACAAACTGAAACCTTATTTAGGTGGGGACATTGATCAATTATGAAATATAATTGAATTGATTCATCCTGAAATAAATTATTTGGCATAGTCTCGCTGAAGACTTAAAAATTATGCTTATTGAAGGCAACACACTTAATATGTTATATTTGTTGCCTATTGCACTAGTTATCTTGTAACATGTGTTATGTTATCACATATTTTATACGCCTTTTATCATTCATATGAAAGCATGCATAATGTTAATTGATGTTTATGTTTCTTTTGCATTTTATTGAAATTTCCCTCATGCTTACTATAGTTTTCATTAATTATTCTATTCCGATTATTTAACTAACCATAGCAAAAAAGGGTAATTAAAAAATTATATAAAATTAGGATAATAATAAAACCATATATCATAGTTCAAATGGATATTGTTTATACTTCATAGAGTGGAAAAACTAATAATTAATTAACTTAGACCATTTAAGTTATTGCTTTAATTTGAAATTATAAGTTATACCTTTATGTATTAATTTTTAAAATTAAAGATTATATATGAGTAGATTAAAATTAGAAATCATAAGCCACCTGAATTTCAAAATGGTAATCTTATTAAATCTTCACATAAAATTTATTAAGATTGTAAAACAGTTCCAAGTAAAAAACTAATATTCAAAATTATCAACTATGTACTCCATAAATAAAAAGAAAAAGAACTACAAAAATAGTTATTAAAAGAAAAAAAGAAACTAAAGAAAAATAAAAGATGAGTACATTCAAAAATTAATATCAGTCATAAGCTTATAATTTGATTACATCATATACTTAAATTCATAAAGGGTAAAAATAAGAAAACTAGTACAAATAATGGTGAACTAACAAAGTTTCAATTTTAACAACTAAAATATCTAATCAATAAGTTACATTATTCACTTTAAAATTTAACAATTAATAATTAAATATATAACATGTGAATTCAAATTAAGTAATAATAAGGATGTCTAATTAATATAATTTTTAGTGTTTTTCCAAACTAGAATTATAATCTTGTTCATTTTTACTACTTCTAGACCGTGTTGTATTATCCCATATTTTAGTAATTTTAAATTGCTAGATTTTTTTCTTTGGTTAATCATTTAATAAAAATTACAAAATATTTATTTGCATAAGGACAACCAAAAGTTTAAGCTAGAGAGAATTTGATAAGTTTAAATAATTTATTATTTTATGTGTTATATTTTAAGAGAAAAGATATATTTTTTAGTTATATTGTGCATGAAAATTACAAAAAGGGCACCCAATTATATGTATAATCCAGCACCACAATATTGGATAAATGAACGCCACATGCATTGTTAGAGCACTACAATATTGAAATTGTAGTGCTAACTTTTCTGTTGGATAATGTCGCGGTGTTAAAATGGTCAGCTTTGCAACACCATATTCATTATCTTTAAGTGTCGTGATGTCACAATCTATTATGCCTCGGCGCCAAAATTACCACTCTGGCATTGCAACATTCCAAAGTCAGCAGCACTACAAAGTAGCACTTATAATTTCTAAAGAACATAATCTATGAGTGAAATGATGTAACTATCCATGTAAGCAGGTGCCACGACGGAGCGAAAAACTCAGCATAATGACATTAATTCATTTTATAGGCGTTGTGGTGGCATTCTTTCAAGCACCACAGTGCTAACCTAATTTGTGTTTTCATATATATATACGACTATTATAAAAGGGGTTGGAGTTTCCACCCCTAGCAAATCATGTCCTTTCATTTTATCTCTTTAAAAATTATCTTATCCCTTCATTATATTATAAATATTTAATAAATTTAGAAAATATGAAAATATATAATAATTACTTAGCAATTAATAACACAATAACACTAATTAAATAATAAGCCAATAAAAGTACCAAAGCATCTCATACGCCCACTTTATTTCCCATTTTAAAAATTGCTTTTCAAATAATTAATTAAGTAGTTTCTAAAATTATTAAAATTGCTTTAATTCAAAAACTGCAGTTCCAAACCAACTCATGCACCCACTTTAATTCTCATTTTTAAAACCGCTTTTTAAATAATTATCTATACTACTATTATAAAAGAGG